CAACGACAATATCGCTCTTCGCGCCCACGCCAGCAATGACAAGGATGCTTCATCTTCCACGACGCGATATAATATGTTTAATACCAACTGGGCGCAAAAAGGAAATATGTTTAGACCCAAGTAGTATTGTTTCCTTGCGGTCGGATGAGACATTTGTCGTCGGAAATGACTGACAAGTCAATGACCGATCGTGCGCTGATGACGGCGTATACAGGTGCGCGCGGGTGCACAGCTTTCGTGCCGGCATGCGTCAATGTCTACATGTCATTGAAATGGCGGAGAGATACCAAAGCATCCTTGCGAACCGCGAAGCGCCATCGATTTCGAAAAAAGACGTTAGTCTCAAAGCAAGAGGACTCTACATATTTGAACGGAGTGAAGATTAGCTCCGTCAGCTCAGGAGACAGGCGAGCAAGACGTATACTTCCCCGCGGACCTTCAATACAAATTCGAAGTTGTATAAAAAGCGTACAAAGCAACGAATCAATGCCGAATGGAGGATGACGAAGTCGAAAGCAGGCATGTCTTGCTTTTCGGAAGCCACGCGCGTGCTTCCGTCGTGGACGGCAGAGAATGCTAGCAGCCTCCCGCTATACAGATCTGAGCTATATGTTCGACCCACTGCTTTCTCCACAGGAGGTTGATGGCATGCCGCGCCTGGAAAACTGACAAAGCCGAGGCGGCCGACTGGCGGCCTCTCATCTGGGGGCATTTGGGCCCAACGCAGGCACCGATGAAGCGCCCTCCTGTCTGTGCGTTCATGTGGCCACGCGCGGGTGACACCGCGCCCGCGTCGAAAGACGGATGGGGGACTTGCGGGCGGAGCGGATCTCCCCGCGGCATCGTGGTTGGCCAGCGATTATGCGGCTACGATGGGGGGCGCTCCGTCCGACGTTCACGACGATCCTTATTTTCGCATCGAGCGCCCCATCGCAAACCCGAAAGACCCAAGATATTTGCCGGCGAGTGTTCCTGAGAACGTCGCCAGGCGGAGACGCGCGGAGCCGAGTGCTCGCTGGGGCCCTGCACTGTAGATCGCGAATATTCGAACAAAGTGGAGATTTCGATGGGAGCGGGCCCTTGCCCTTTGTTTCTGAAGTGGGCGCCGAGCGACGACAGAGACTTCGGAGCAGAATTTGATCTCGTTACGCCGAAGACCAAATTGAACACGGAGTTGATTGAGACGTTGGGCGAAATCGCGCGCCCCCGACATGCTGCGGGGCGCCTGTCCGCCCTAACATGCCCCAGAAGAGCTGTTGATGCGTCGGGCGCCCGGTGGCGGCAGTCTCGGTCAAACCCCAGAGGCATGCGTTGATCGCGGCCGCAGCTAAGTTCGCGCGCCAACGCGCGACCATCGACCCACCGGGCGACGATAGTGTCGACGAGGGGGCGGTCGCGGAAAGGATTGCTAAACTCTTCGGCGACCGGGGCGGCTTGATCACAGGGTTCTTCGCGCGACGAACATTATCAGATCACGCATGGTGGAACATGTCGCGCGCGAGCGTTGCGCTGCGTTCCCCTTGGAGATGAAGCCCTTCCAGCATAATCGAAAGCAGCGTGGCGGGGGGGGCTGCGCCGATGGCGCGAGTTGACCGGCGCCCGCAGCAGATGTGGAGAGACTCGTATTTGCCCGATCATATGATTTGGAAAACCATGAGGAGGTCTGACTTGTCGGAAAAATGATTTCGGAATTGCGGCGTAGCCTCAAGACCGAGATGCGCGGGGGCCCCTGGCCGACCCAGATCGCGAGGGCCGCGTTCGCCGATCGGGCCACGTTGGAAGAGCCGCTGCAAGATGAATGCCGTGGAATGTTTGCTCACTTGGTTGCAGAGCGGGGGCATCCGTCGGCTTCCTGCGTTGATTTGCTAGCGGCGGATCCCCTGATCTCGGCTCGGCCGGCGACGGGGCGCCCGCGAGCCGCCCCGCGCAGGGCGCTGCGACGACGGACGTGGCAGCCGAGGAATCACCCAATACAAGCGTCGCTCCGACTCCGACGGGGGGGCCCGCTGAGGGGCCTGCCAGCGGCCCAGTCGACGGGGTTTCAGCGCCGGCCCTGCCCGAGACGATGGAGGCCGAGATTGGGGGCGCCGAGAGCGCGGGCTCTGTTGCCGCCCCTGCGCCTGCTGCTCCTCGCCCCCCCCCCCCCGCGCCGCCGCCGCCGGGGGGCTTGGTGGCTGCGGTTTTTGGCGGGCGCCCCCGCAGCGACGGCGCGCGCGCGCGCGCCCGCTGTCGGCCGCGCCGAGGCCGCGGAGCGGGGGCCGCGATGCCGAGTCGAGGCCGGCCGAGGCCGCGACTGCCCGCGCAGCGACGCCGCCGCGGCGTCGCCGAGAACAGGATGGAGAGCGCCAGACGCCATGCAGCTACACGACGCAGGGCGTCTACCAGCGTGGCCGATAGCAGAAAAGTTGGGATCGCAATTGCCATCATGGCGATCGCGAGAATGGCGGCACATGGGCGCGCAGTGATGCCGCGAGGATTACGACCGCAATGGCAAGTACATGTCGCGTTCTCAAGGCGAAGAACCCAAAAAGCTGGCGGGGGCCCCGCCGGCATTGCACCACTTGCAGAGAAAGACCAGGGCAAAGTACCTGCGCAAGAACTTCAACGTTCTCTTCTGAGCCCGGGGGCTCAATTTGGGGGATGCGTCGATCCGCTTCGGCCCTCCCCAATGGAGATCCAGCGGGATGATCGGCGCCCCTTCTCCTGTCTGGCGCCGCGCAAGGTATTGGGGCTGGCGCGGGGGGGGGCGCCCGGGGGGGGGGGGCGGGGAATCGCTGCGTTCCCCGGGCTGGGTTCGCAGCGCGGGGCCAGCGCGCCCGCCGCCAGGGGAAGCGTTACTGTTCTCTCCCCGCTCGATCCTGCGCTTTCCGCAGCTGCGAAGGATTGGCTCGAGGGGCGCGCCGAGGATTGCGCCCCGCGCGCGCGAGGGTAAAGGGGGGTATTGTCCCCCTCCTTCACTCCTTTATACAGCTTACCTGCTTGTTGATTATTGAATCGCTTCGCTCATTCCGCCGGCCCGTGATATGGCATCGCTGGTTTTTGTCTGTGTGTTCGTTGCCCATGTTGCGCTCTTGGGGGCGGGTGTCGTTCGGACGCGTTGCGTGGGGAGTTTTGATGGTGAAGCAGTTCCCTGGGGGTCGTCTCTCGATGGGGCGAAATAGAGTCGTCGTCAAGATGCTTCTTTGGGGGGCCTCTTGGGGTCTGTTGAGAGGCCGTTCGGGGGCGCCTGGGAGACATGTTTGAAGCCTTCTGGGGCTTCTTTTGGGCCTCCTGGGAGTCTCCTGGGGCCTCTTGGCGACATCTTGGGGCCTCTTGGAGGCCTCTTGGGGCCTCTTTGGGACCTCCTGGGCGCCTTCTGGGACGGAGGGCTCCATTTTTGAGTTCTCGGTATCCCTCCTGAGTCCCTCTTGGGCCCGTCTTGGGGCCTCTTGGTCCGTCTTGGGCGGCACTTGGGCCGTCTTGAGGGCTCTCTTGGGTCGTTTCGGCGCCGTCTTGGGAGCTTCGTGGGCCGTCTTGGAGCGGTCTTGGGGGCCTCTTGGGCCGTCTTGGAGCGTCCGGAAGCCGAAAAAGCCAGAACACAAAAAACATAGAAAAAACAATGAAAATCAACGATTTTGGCCTCTTGGGGCTCTCTTCGGAGGCCTCTTGGAAGGCTCTTGGGGCGTCTTGGAGGCCTCTTGGGCTGTCTTGGGGGCCTTTTGGGCCGTCTTGGGGTCATCTTCGGCGTCTTCGAGCGCTCTTTGGGCGTCTCGGGGGCCTCTTGGGCAGTCTTGGGGGCCTCTTGGGGCACTCTGAGCGCGCTCTGGGGAGCCTGAGAGGCCGCACCCAGAAGGAAAACCATCTCTGAGTAGACTTGGTCGGGCGGCGGTCGGGCGGCGGTCGGGCGGCGACCGGGCGTTGGTCGGGGTACTTTTCGCCGGGGGAACCCCAGGGGCCGCCCCGCGCGCGCGAACTAGAAATACTGTTAATACTGTTAATCAGTTACCGGAGATCTTAGCACGCCCTGGCCCGTTGGGCCGGCGAATTAAAAAGCCCACCTAATCAACCTATCTTGAGCGAGGAGGACCATACTTCACCATCGCCATTTAATATAGTCCCACCTTCGCCAGGAATCATGTTCTTCCTTAGCGAAATATAAAGTCATTTTCAATGGTAGCCGCCAACGTGCACGATATGCGCAAGACGCGGGTAATCGGTGACTTTCGTTTCTGCACCCGGTGCAGACGCCACTCGATGTGCCAAGTCCAGGACTTGGCCTCGCGATGTTTTCGTGAGCGTGGCAAACACGCATCAACGATGTTGCAATGAACGAGCCCTCCAAGTTTGCATATCGCACATTATCATGGGCAGTTGCCTGGAAGGCAACCGTTTAGGAATGTCCAACGGTGCCAAAGCACCGCACCTGGCATGTCAACGCCCTTGAATCAAAGTGATTGGGGCGTCGTGTCCATATCTTCCATCGTAACAGAAAACCAATTCCGGAACGTCAATGCCGCGGATGTATTTGATTGTTGCGAAGCTACAAGCCTAACTCGTGCCATGCCACCATTCGTGTGGTTTCAATTTTACGAATCCGTGGAATCGCTGCAAGCTTTGACGACGAATGTGCGCGGCGTTACGGCGAGCGCCACATTTTGAACATGAGCCGCCCGCCACCTTTGAAGCTGTTGCACATGATTGATACGACTGCCCGCAGCGTTCAAGCGATAACCATATTTTGACCCCCCCCCGCACCTTTGGAACTGGTGCAAATTTCCAACTTTGGAACTGCAAATGGTGGTGAAGTCTCAGGCGAAGCGCCATGCCCGCCGTAACGGCAAATCTTGTACACGTAAAACAAAAGGATGGAGGAAGAGGACCACGACCAAAAGGAAGAGGACGCGCCGAATAAGGAGGAGGAGGAGGAGGAGGAGGAGGAGGACACGACGACGAAGGCGAGGGGGACGAGAAGGAAACGGACGAAGACGACAAGATCGAGTGTGGAAACGGATCGCACACAGGTGCACCGCATCCTGCTTGCGGTGCGCAGCCAGGAAGTGCAGGTCGTCACCGCCCACGACGGCCTTCCCTGGGTGCCAAGGAGCCCCCACCCCAGCCACATGGTCGTCGTCGTTCGTGGTCGCCTCCTCGTTTCCTCCTCCTTTTCCTTCTGATCCTGTACGTCCTCATCGCACTCCGCGCGCTGCGTCTCGGAACCCAGAGGTGCGAGTATGTCTCAGGCGAAACGAGCTGAAACAACTCGCGAGCGGCAAGGCGCCCAGACACCTCCACAGCACAATTCGACAGCAGAAGAGAAGTCAAAGGGGTCATCTTGGTCTGACCCCTCCCTCCTCCTTCCGGTTGTTTCGAGGATGTCTCTGGCAAAACGGGATGGTTAACCCTGCGCACGGCATCTCGGAACCCAGAGGTACGAGGATGTCTCACGCGAAACGGGCTGAAACACGTTTCGCACATCATTTTTAGTTGTTGTGTTTTTCCTTGAAGACCTCTGATCAAACTCATTTGGGTCGCCTCGGAGCTGTCTTGTGCAGCCGTAGGGCAGTACTGGGGGGTCCATCGGGTCCTTCTTGTGGGCCTCTCTGGCCGTCTTGGGGCTCTCCCGGGCAGTCTCGGGGCCCTCTTGGCCGTCTGGGAAGTCTCGTGAGGTCATCTGGGGCGTGAATTCCTCGTTCTCGCCGTCGTCCTCCACCACCTCCCCCTCCTGTCGGGCCGGACGAAAGGGCAGGATAGAGAAGGGGGGGTTACGAAATCCGTTGAATGAGGCCTGGGGGCTTACCCCTTCGCCTCCCCCGATCCTCCCGCCCCTCACCGAGGGCGCTCTTTCGCGCGCGGAGGGGGCCCGCCCTGTGTGGGGTGAGGGCTCTGCCCCAGCGCACTGGGGGAGTTGGGACGAGGGCAGCGGCAGGTCGAGGATGACGAGGAAGGCGGGGAGCAGAAGGCCACGGTCGTCGGCATCACGGGGGGCACTGGCCCCAATCCTGATCTCAGTGCCTGGAGTCAGCAGGGCGCCACTGACTCCACCGATAGGGTCCCTGTCCGTCGGCGCGCACGGCACCAATCGAGTCAACCTCCACCCGGGAACCCCAGTTGTAGGGGCAGCGGATAATGGAGCCATGCTTGGGATACGCCCGACCCCCCCTTGGAAGAGGTGATCCCGGCGTTGCTTCCCTAGCTGTCGAAGGAACTGCAGCCTTCAGTTGTGAGAGGCCCCCCAGAGTGTTCCTCGCAATTTTGACAGTCATGAAGATGTGTCCGAAAGTGCGGCCTTCAGCTGCAAAAGGAACGCGCCCCCTCCTGGAGACAGCATCGTGGCGATAGTTTGCAGCGCTGCAGAGGGCGCGCCCGCGCTCGGAGACGTTCCTCACAATTCTGACAGTCAGGGAGATGCACCCGAAAACGCGGCCTTCAGCTGCAAAAGGAACGCGCCCCTCCTGGAGACAGCATCGCGGCGACAGTTGGCAGCGCTGCAATGGGCGCCCCCGCGCTCGGAGACGTTCCTCACCATTTTGGCAGTCAGGAAGATGCATCCGACAGTGCGGCCTTCAGCTGCAAAAGGAACACGCCCCCTCCTGGAGACAGCATCGTGGCAATAATTAGCAGCTCTGCAGAGGGCGCGCCCGCGCTCGGAGACTTCCATCACAATTCTGACAGTCAGGAAGACGTTTCCGAAAGTGCGGCCTTCAGTTGCAAAAGGAACGCGCCCCTTCCTGGAGACAGCATCGTGGCGATAGTTGGCAGCGCTTTGGAGGGCGCGCCCGCGCTCGGAGACGTTCCTCGCAATTCTGACAGTCAGGAACTTGTTTCCGAGAGTGCGGCCTTCAGCTGCAAGAGTCCCCTGGGAGAGCTCGAGACTGATCAGGTGGTCGTTTGCCACAGCGCGTCGGTCCCTCCCCCTCCTGGAGACTGGCAGGCGGACCCCCATACTACTCCTCGCTCCCATCAGCGTCCCTGGGCAGGTTCGCGGGCGAACCCATCGGCGCCTCGGTTCCCCCCCTCCTGGAGATAGGCAAACCAGCGTTCCTACAACTCCTCGCTCCTAACTGCGTCCCGGGGGCAGGGCCTTGGTGCAGGCCGAGGATGGGCCCGATAGCGCGCCCACTCCTGGCAACTGCCTTCGGCGACAGGTGGAAGCGCTGCAGAGGGCGCGCCGGTGACCTTCCTCACAAAATAGATAGTCAGGAGATCAGATCGGAACGTGCAGCCTTCAGCTGCAGCAGTCCTCTGGGGGAGTTACAGGCTGAACAGGTGGTCGTTCGCAGCAGCGCGTCGCCCCCCCCCGCCCTGGAGACAGGCAAGCAGGCGTTCCCACAGCCCCTCACTCCTGATCAGCGCCCCTTGGGCAGCGTCGTTGTGGACGCGGAAAGTGCGGCCGAAATGGCGCCCCGTCCTGACAGCAGTATCGCGGCGACAGTTGGGGGCGCTGCAGAAGGCGCGCCCGCGTTTGGAGACGTCCCCGCAAAGTTGAGAGTCAGGAGATCATATCGGAACGTGCAGCCCTCAGCTGCAGCAGTCATCTGGGAGAGCCACAGGCTGAAAAGTTGGTCGTTCGCAGCAGCGTGTCGGCTCTTCACCCTCTTGGGGATAGGCAAGCAGGCGCTCCTACAGCTCCTCATTCTGATGAGCGCCCCTTGGGCAATGTCGTTGTATAGGCAGAAGATGCGAGCGGCAGCGCGCTGCTTCCTGGCAATTGCATCGCGGCGACAGTTGGGATTGCTCCAGAGGGCGCGCCCGTCGGATACCTTCCTCGCAAAATAGATCGCCAGGATTTCGCGTCGGAGCGTGCAGCCTTCAGCTGCAACAGTCCTCTGGGAAGTCTACAGGGGTCGTCTGCCACAGAGCGCCAGTCTGTTCCCCTCTTGGAGATAGGCAAGCTGGCTTTCCTACAGCTCCTCACTCTTATCAGCGCCCCGAGGGCAGATTCTTGGCGGAGGCCGAAGATGCGCTCGAAATGGCGCCCACTCCTGGCAGCAGTATCGCGGCGGCAGTTCGGAATGCTGCAGAAGGCGCGCCCGAAAACGGAGACACGCCACGCATAACAAAACATCGGGAGGTCGTAAATCCAAGGGCGGCCGTCAGTTGCTGCAGTTTTCGCGTCGTGGGCGTGAACGAAGGTGTGATTGACAGTGACCCAGGGCATTCACGACTGGAGGGTTCGCCTGACTCCTGGATGCGCGTGCGGGCCACAGACGGGCGCGTCTTCGCGATCGGCGCAGACGCTCCGGCCGACGCTTCCGAGGCCATCCCCGTGGCCGACGGCCGATACGGAGCCGCTACCTGGAGAGCCTGGGGCTGTCGTTGCACCTAGTCGAGGGCGAGAGTCAGCGACCCCCCGCTTTGACTCCGCCCGCTGCCGCCCTTGGTGCCTTCGAAGCCCCCTCGCTGGGGAACAACGGATCAGCCCCGCAGTGGCAGGACATCGAGGCCATCCGCCAGCTTGTCGAGGGAAGTCCATTCGCGCCCATTCGCCTTCCTTCCCGCGTCAGCGAATCCGCCCGAGCGGACAGCGAACCGCAGCCATTCCCTCTCGAAGCCCGGGCCTCGCCAGGTAAGGCGACTTCCGCCCCGGCGAAAAAAACTGTGTCTGAGAACGTGCTTGCGCCCGGTACGACTCACAGCGCTCCCACATCTGGCGATCGTCGCGCGGCGTCAGATTGGGGCGCGCCCGTGAGCGAGGGCGGGCGCAGGTCCGGAGGCGGACGTCGGCGAGAGGGGCTTGTCCCCGCTGTGCAGCGTTCCTCTCTGCCCCAGCTGCCAGAGGCGACCCGGCCCCTGCCCGGCGGCCAACCGCGCGGCCCGCGCCGACCCGCATGGCCCCGCCAGGCGCCCCTGCCCCAGCAGCCGCCGCGCCGTGCGAAGCCATGGGCGACTCCGGCGGAGGAACGACGGCAGCGCGGCCGACATTTTCCTCCAGCGCGTCTGCCTGGCAGCGGGTGGATGCCCTGCCTGGCCTCTGCGATTGGCGAGTTTCCAGTCTTCCCGCAGCCCCCGGGTCGAAACCTGGCCCCTGGCGACGCCGACCGCGCCGGCGGGTCTGGCGGACGGCAGACGACAGGCGACGGACGCAGCAGCGGCAGTCGCGGCAGAAGCAGAAGCAGCAGCAGCAGCCGCCGCGCCAAGGACCAGCCGCTGACCACCCCGCCTTGGGAAGCGAGGCCCGCCTCGCGCCGGCGGCCGGAACCCTTAGACCCCGACGCAGGACAGCAGTTGTTTAACATCAAGATCAGCGGCATCCAGTGGGGTCTCCTCGGGGAGACCCCTGGCAAGACGATGAAGCGGCTTTGAGCAACCCTAGGTGCGATGTTCACAGGCGCCTGGCACGCGTTCGCCGAGCAACGCGTCGAAGGCGCGCCCGACCCGCGACGGCGCGACCAGCAAACTTGCGTCTACTTCCTGCGCTCCGTCCACAGCCGCAACTGCGATGTGCGGGCCATGAACGACGCGCTGGACCTCGGCGTTCACTGGGTTCAGCTGCGGCAGCGATACCTGAGTCGCAGCGACGGCGCGGGCAAGGGGCGCCAGGTGTCGAAGGGCCGCGCTGGCAGCCGCGCTCCCAGGAGGGGCAGGGGGCTGTGGAAGGTCGTCAGCTCTAGCACTGCGAGCGCGCCCGCCCTATTTTCACCCTAGTCGCAGCCCCCCGCGCCAGTGCGCCATGGTCGCCGCGGCTCCTTTGCAGAAGGTGCAGCCTTCAGCTGCTTCCTGGTGTCCTCGCATGCCGACCAACAATGGGCCACTCAGAAGGGGGGCGCCATGCTTTCCCTGCTCGGAGGGCGGGCCCTGCGGCAGACAGGAGGCTTGCGGGGGTCGTTCGCAACGGCGACGGGTTAGGCGACGCGCGTTCCCACGCATGGCGGCGCCCCATCGGTGCTCGGCAAACCAGTGGCCTTCAGCCACTTCCTGGTGGCACTTTCTGCCCAGCTCCCGCTGCCCCCCCGCCCTTGGGCCCCGGCAGCTGCCTGCTGACAGTGCCGACGCGTGGACTGCCGCTGGGGCCGTGGTCCACCTGTTCCAGTTGGCCCCTGGCCTCGCTGTAGTTGTTTCCGCCGCCCCCGGCGCCCTCCACTCCCCCCGCGCCTTTCGGCA